GCCTTTTGTTTTTTTTCTTTATGTCATCAAGTTGAGTTTGGATAAATGCTAATTTACCCCTTAATTCAGATTCTCTTTCCTTGGAAATATTGGGATCATCTAATTCTTTTTTTATATCAATTGCTTCTTTTTCTAGTTGCTTTTCTTTTTGCTCTTCTTGATTTAATTCCTTATCTATTTCTTTATCGCGAGCATCTAATCTTTTATTATCTTCCCTTGCTGCTTCTAAGGATTTGCTTTTAAGAGCATATTTTTCTCTTTTAGACTTTTGGCTTTGCTTGTAGGCATCATGTCCTTTTTTACAGACATAACCGACACCTAACAAGGTTCCGCATCAGCAAATTGCTTTTATTCCTAAAGGTATTAATAGTGGTGCTGGCATATTATTTGATATTTTTTTTACTCTCTGATTTCTTTAATTCGGCTAGTTGCTGAATTAGACCAGAGAGTTTATTTTCGTATTGATTTATTTCTGATTTATAGTTTGTTAACATAGTTTGGATTTCTTGGATTTTAGTTTCTAATTTGGTTATTTTTTGTTGGTTATTCATATGGTTATTTCATGTTGCCTCCTATTTCTGATAAGAGACCGGCTATTTGTTCAACTGCATTGTTAAAATTTTCATTGAAAACATTATTGGCTATTTGCACTTCCTCTTTTATTTCAGTAATGTTTTTGTCAAGTTCCTTTAAGCGAGTATCTAAGGCTTTACTGATATGATTACTTGCTTGGACTACTACATCTTGAATCTTAGGTTCTCGCGGATCAGCAAACTTACCATCAAAGTCTCTGTCTCATAATTCTCCGCTGTCAAACTTTTGTCAAAAGAATTGTAAGAATTCTCCTAATTGAATACCTTTTTGCTTTATCGTTTCTTCTCCCTCTTCGCTAGTTTCTTTTTCCTCATTGATAATTTTCTTATTGTCTTCATTGCTAATAAATTTATCTCAAAAGGACACAGCATTAGGAATGCTTTCACCATTAATTTTTCGTCCTAAAAAACTTTCTTCAAAATGGATTATGTTAAATCGGTTTACTCACTTGTTATCCTCTTCACTTAAAGAATTATTATCTATTCAATGCTGAGGAAAATCATTAATAATTCCAGCATCAGTTGAATATTCTTTAAATTTTCCCAAAGTTCAACTAAAATTTAATTGATTAGCCAGCCGACCGGGCTGATAAACTGCTTCGTCGATCTCGCTTAAATGGTTAGTAGCAATAATCCATAAATTATGGCTCTCATTTTTTTTATAATTATCACTGCCCATACATTCTTTGAGAAAAGTTAAACCTGACGATTTTCTTGCAAAAGTGTTTTCACTGACTTGATTGGCTTCATCAATAAAAAGAATGTATTGAGGCTCACCACTTTCAGGGTTTATTTCAAAACTAAATTCATCCACTAGAGTATTGTTAATATCGCAGATAGTATAGATAAATTTCTTAAAATTGTCAATACCACATTTTTGGTCGTTAATGGTCGGGG